GGTTCAGGCACTAAATGCATACCTCAGTCTAAGTGCTAAGTTTTGGGAGTTGCTGATTGCATTTTGTTATTTTTAATTACCTCTCATTTCTCTTCCCTGTTTCTGGAAAATCTTACGTAAAAGACACTAATGATTACTATAGAGGGTAAATTGTGAGAGCACTTGTTTGGCAAGGGATGTATATGTCTCTCTATTTTTCTTATTTCACTAACCATAAAAATCAATGAAGGATAAAATTTATAGGAAAACACAAGTAGGAAACCATTTTGTATAGATGTGCTCATAGTGTTTTGTGCATAGTCCAGTGTAAGTTCACATTAAATAAAGTATTAGTAATTTTGACCACTTCTTACTATGAATATATTGATTTGTCAGCAGATTATTGTTTTAGCAAATAGTATTCATAATGTATAATAGTTTTTCTCTAGTTAAATTTCTCAAAATGTGAAAAATATTTTTAGCATGGCAATCTTTAGGAAGGGAGCACTTTTTTTTGGCAAACAAAGGCATAGAATTGTTTTTTATGATTGCTTTCTTCATGTAGTTTTCCTAAAGCTATTTGTATTCCAAGGAAGCCCATTCACGTTTACAAGATATTGAATGTTAATTGACTTGACTGCACAAACATGTTGTATCCCCTGTCACTGAAGTACAGTAAATTGACCAGCACTTCATAGAAGCTTAATTTAGTATAAAAATTCAGGAGGTTTTGCAGATCGTTTGAGGTTTTTCAATTATGAAAAGCCATTAAAGGAGTTTGTGTTTGTCTTTTACAAGGACTAATCACAGAATTACAAGTCCCTTTGAAGTAGAAAACCTGAAGGTTTGGGTGTTGAATTTTTTTTTAATTTTTCTTAATTCTTTGGTTCTAAGCATATATTCAGAAAGAAAGCCTATTTGTAAACAAAGTAAATGACTGCTATGTACTAGAAAAAAACATTAGTAATTAAGAGTGCCAATTATTATTAAGAATGTTAATTATTTTCAGCAGAAAATAAATTAGGTATTGTATAAATAATTCTACAGTTGCATTTTATTGCATTACTGAGTTTTATGTTTTGCAGATCGTAGATTACTTTTGGCTAGTTATTTGACAAATGATCTTGCTTATCATTTGCTAATAGACGACTGTAATAAATGTGTGGTGGTTTTGTAATTTTACATGTGTGGATATATTTTTAACTTGTACTTCTGTTCTTTAAAATCTTTGGTTTCTTAATATATTTTTATTCTTTTTTGTTCCTCTTTTTTTGCTTATCCCATCTGTCCAGCTTAAAAGGTGACTTGGCATACAACTATAGAGGACCTAGAACTAAAGATGATATAATTGAATTTGCTAATAGAGTAGCAGGGTAAGTATATGCTTTCGTGAGACTAGTTCTGGTGACTTAGAACTTCTGCAAAATTTTTTTAAAGGTGGGCTGAAAGTGGAATTTATTTGAATAAAGAGTAAGACATTGACATTAAGTTAAAGAAGATACATATTATTCATGTGTGAGAGTGATGCTTAACTGGAATACAGAAGTCAAATAGGGAGTGACTAGTCAGAATCTCTTCTTTCCAGTGCAAGAACTAGGGATTTTCAAATAACATTGAAAGCTCATTAGAGCCAGGAAAAAAAGGATACTGACCTAAACGTTGCATAATACACAAAAATCATTACTAAGCAGAATCAGTTTAACAATCCATGTTTTCATAGAAATCTGTTTAATATACCCTTGCAACTTGAAAGATGTGGCAGCTAGCAACATAAGGAAATTGCTTTTATGGAATTGTTCACAGCAATTTCCAATCACTTTTTCTTCCTTCCCTATAGTGGCCCATGGCCTCACGGTAAACTGTGGGGAGGAGAAAAGTTCAGATTTCTTCTCGTGCTTAAGAAGCTTCATATAGATGCATAAGATTAATTATTGTTCATAACTCTGTAGTCTAGGAATATCACTGATCTCTAATAATTTATCAAAAATTTGTAAGAATATTTGTAAGAATATTTCTAAGACCACATTCTCCAAGTACTGTGCCTACATTCAGAAATTTCTCTCTCAAATTATTTTTACAGTGGGTAAATGTCTTGCATATTCATTAATACCATAGCAGCATTTTGTACTAAGCTATCAATTTTATTTAAGGGTGGTACTTGAGGAAAAATTCTAGAGTTTATTTTGGGTTGGGGGGGGGGGTTTTTTTTTTTTTAAATTGAAACTTAAATTGCAAAATTAAATTAATTTAATTTTGGGGAATTTTGTAAGAAACCTGAATGGTGTGTTCCTGGGGATCTTTATTTGTTTGGGTTTTGCAGCTTGTAGAAACTGAGACTTTTCTTTCTTTCTTTCTTTCTTTTTTTTCTTTCCCACCCTCCCAGACCTCTAATCAGGCCACTTCCTAGCCAGCATATGTTTGAGCATGTGCAAAAGAGACATCGTGTACTTTTCGTGTATGTTGGTGGGGAATCTCCTTTAAAGGTTTGAAACTTGATTAAATGAAGTTATTACTTTTGGCTCTTCCCAGATGTAGTTTAAAATATATCTTCTAAAACAGGTGAGAAAGTAATAGTTGAAAGACTGAAGAAAGTGCACGTGTTGTAATAAATTCTGATCTTTGTAAGAACAGTTTGGTAATTATAGTCTTTTGTCATAACCATATTTTCTAATTACACTTTTAAAATAAGGTTTCCTTTGACCTGTACCAAAAGCTGAGAAATTAAAAAAAAAAAATGTTTGTATTTTTGCAGGAAAAATACATTGAAGTTGCTTCAGAACTAATTGTTTATACATACTTTTTTTCTGCCTCAGAAGATGTACTACCTGAGGTAAGATGTTTCAGCTCCTATTGTTTCTACTAATGCAGTACAATTCTCCATCTATATCTCTACGTATAGATCTCTGTGTGTCTTTGAAAAGAGCATTGGCAAATCCTGAACTAATTACATTGAAATGTTTGATATTCAAGTCCATAATGGTTAAAGGGTACAAACTGAATTTTGGTTATGGTATAGTCTTTTACTGTCTAGTTTGATGAAACTTTTCGTAACTGTTAGTATAGAAGCCTCTTGTCTTGTGGAATGGGTAATGTTTGCAGTGCGCATTTGGTGTGGGTTTAAATTGTTTGTATGTTATTATTTTGACCAAATGTTTTGTTTAGTCAAATTAATAAAATGGTAGAAACTTAAATAGAGGATATGTAGGACTTATCCTGCTAATCGGGGAAGTCAGTGGAAGGGTTACCTGTTTGCACCTTGTGCAATACGCCTGATTAAAACACTAGTATGCCCTGGGATCGGCTAGCCCAGTCTACTCACTACAGAATCTCACTCTCTTTTGGGGATTCTGTAACAAGGAAACTATTCACAGTAAACCACAAGGGTGGAAAAACTTGGCAATGCTATTCTTAAGCCTAACCATTGTTGCCTAAGTACTAAAGTAAAATGAAGAGGCTTTCTAATTTCTTGTTATCTCCAAGTGGGACCTGAGTCTGCTTACAGATGACTTTGAAAATGCTCATTTGGGGTTAGCGGAGCGAGAGCTAGCATACATTTTTTGTGATGCACTTGTATTTTTTGGATGGGGCCCAGCTCCTCCCAGTGGTGCCTGATGGTAGAACGAAAGGCAATGATGGAACAGGCTGTTCCACCTGAGCATAAGAAGAAATTCCTTTACTGTAAGGATAACAGAGCGCTGGAACAGGTTACTCAGAGAGGTTGTTGAGTCTCCATCCTTGGAGAAGTTCAAAAGCTGTCTGGACGCGGTCCTGGGCAATGTGTTTAAGGTGACCCTACTTGAGCAGAGGGATTGGACTACATGACTTCCAGAGGTCCCTTCCAACCTCAACCATTCTGGGTTCTCTGATTTTTTTTCTTTTTTTTTTTTTCCCTACCCCCTGACAAGTAGAACTGACCTCAGTTTAAATAGTGTATTACTAAATTTCCAAAAGCCTTGTATCAAAAACTGCCTTGATTTGAATACGCCTATTTTCACCTTAGACCCATCTGAGCAAGAAAAGTAACATTCACTCGCACACTGGAAAGTGTAAAAGCCTGGAGCTGTTTGAGATTCTGTGATTGTGGTGATGCAAGAAGTGAGCTGTTTACATTTCATAGGAAAAACCTATGTTATTATAAGTCAGATAGTGGTGATCTGCAATATTCTATGGAGAGAATAGCAAAAAGATGTTATGAAAACACTCAGTTATAATGAAGCACTACATGACAAAGTCTAGTATTCATTGTTAGGATCTCTTTTGTCGCCTTAGATAATCTTTTTCCAAATTTCAGGCATCTTTTGCAAACTATGCTGTGCATAGACTAATCTGCCCTTTAAAGACACTACACTGCTGTTAGGGGAAATACAAGAATGAAAGCATCATCCAGAATTACCTACTTCTTCCTCGTTAATATGAATTGTTACATTATGAACCTATTGCTTTTATATTTATCTCTGAGAAAGATGATGCAGAGTGATTACAGAAGGCATGTCAGCTGGGAAAGTACTCACAATACTATTCTTATGTTTTCCCCAACACATCAGTAAGTTAGAGAATTCAGCCAACAGTGTCAACAAGACTAAATTTACCACGTCTTCTTTTATTAACCACATATTCTGTTAGAATTTTAACCAAGAATGTGAGCAAGCAGTAAGGAGTAGATACTAGATATCATAAAAGGCAGGACTGGGTGGGTTTTTTTTGTTATTTTTGTAGTAGCTTATTGAAACCATGAGATGACAAAGTTTAAGTTGCAAAGCAAAGGTTTCTACATCTTGTATTTTTTTTATATAAGTATGTTGATGACTAAATAAATCCTAAATAGTGTATTTAAGATGATAATCCTAAGCATGCATCCATTTTTCTGTTTGCCTAAATTAGGGCTGTTTGTAGCCCTGTCTGCTGAATGGGTGTGTCTATATTTCCGTCAGCCTGAACCACAGGAAATAGCCCCAATTTACAGTGGGACATATTACTGATATTACTGTCTTACGCCACAATATTATTGAATGACCATTAGTAAAAGTAACTGCGTGTATATTACAGGTACACTGACAACGGCACAAATTGGGAGTAGAGAATAGTACAAAATTGATGAAAACTTAAAGTTCTGATCTTTTTCTTCTGTCTAGAATTCATGTCAAACTCTGAAAAACCATTCTTCATGCTACTGCAGATACAAGTGAAAATCCTGCTCGATTTATACAGATTACCTATCAAAAGATAGATTTTGTGTTGTGTTACTTCCTAATACTACAGAGGCTGAGAAATTTATTTTTATAAAAGGAGACCAAAAAAGTTACTTCAAGATTTTTCCCTGTGGACTAGCTAGGCACACTTTAAGATTTCTTTCTGTGTCTAAAATTTTCTAATCATCCATAGTTTAATTGAAAAACACCTCTCTTTCAGTATGTGACATTGCCTGAATTGCCTGCTGTTGTGGTCTTCAAAGATGGAACTTACTTTGTATATGATGGTACGTAAAAGTATACATTACTTTCAGGCAAGATACTGAAAGCATATAGGAGAAATCAAAGCCAAAACAGGTGGGATTCTTTGAAGGTCACGTTGGAGGTGGTGGGAAATTCCCAAGTTTTATGATAAGTAACAGTCTCTTAAGAAATGGAGTAAAATGGAATTAGACTTTAGGTATTTAATGCCGTTGTGCATTTTCTTATGGAACCAAAAAAAGTGTTTGAGAAAGAATTATTTCTTAGCGATAATGAAATAGAAGTGATGGAGTTTGTTCTTTGTCATTCAGTAAAATGCAGCTTTTCATATGGCAGCTTCACTGACATTAACATATTTATAAAAGTTTTCCTTCACCCACTACCCAAATCCAATCTTTGATATGAACAATAAATGAAAACTCTTGCTAAAGGGGAGTCGCAATCAAAATCAGCTCTACAGAAATCCAGGTGCAATGAACTACTTTTCCCGTCTAGTAGATGAGTTACAGTTCCAAACAGTTAGTCAGACTTTTTCTAACAATTTTTCTATCTGACCATGAAGTGAACTGGACTTTTTCGGATGTGTCAAGTTTGAGGTTTTTGTGCTGTATTAGAACTACTTTATTAGTACAGCAAATCTTCCTTCAAAAACCTTAAAGAAAAGGAAATTGGTTGTCCTCTCTTCCTAGTATTAACATTTAGAGGACGAAAGTGGCAGTACTGAGCATATGTGACTTAGACAGTTGTGTTACATGTACTTTGGTAATGGAAAATGATCAGACAACATGACATCTATGTATGTATAGTACGGAGAATGATTGATCTTTCTGGAAGGAAAAAAAACCTAGACAAAAAGTGTCCCTCGCAAAAAGAGGTAAAGGGGACATGGACTGTAGACACTGGAACGGTCCATACACAATTTCAAGCTGGAGAAACTGTTCTAAGTTTAGCTGTGTTTAGCTTGTGGACTTCAGAATGGCCACCTGAGAGTAGTAGCATTTCTTAGCATTGCTGTAAAGCAGCGTACCTGCCATTTATAAAAAGTGTATCTGAGTGGAATCTAATACTTGTATGTGCTGTATGCATAAGTATGTATACACGTGCATACTTATAAGCCAACCCATGGTATGTATACATATAAGTACAGCACTTATTTACAAATACATCTAGTCTTTATTTAGTCTGTTTACAAATACATCTAGCCTTTGACATGTATGCTTTAAATAAAGATGTTCATTTCTGAGTTGAAACTTGAATTTGAAAATGTATTGCTGAGAAAACTCTTCTGCTTTTTTAATTTCTAAGGATCGACAGTACTACAGCAAAATGCTCTAGATGGGCCATCAAAGTGTGATTCCATAGAATGGCTACCTTTTTCTTCAATCTGCTGTCTTTGCAGTCTCATCCTCAAAGAAGTTTACTCAGCAGCTTCCCTGATTTGTTTTTGGCCTTTTTGATAGGAATGAAGAGAGAAGGCAGGTCAAAGAAATAATTCCAAATTGCTTTTGGCCTTTTTGATAGGAATGAAGAGGGAAGGCAGGTCAAAGAAATAATTCCAAATTGCTTTGTGCTGGGTGACTGACTTGAAAATTCTGGCTGCTAACTGCTTTGTAAAAATTTCTCTTTATAATGTACTAACAACGTTATGGTAAATAAAATTAAACAAGTTATGCTAAAGGAGTATGAGAGACTGAATGAGGTTGTATGTGTAATTGCCACCACTGGGTCACTGGGTAGAAATTGAGCATTGAATAGATTTCCCCCCC